ATTACATCATTAAACAACTGTTGTATTATTTATTTGACAAATAAGATACAGTAGTTATTACACACGTTCAGATCGGAATGGACCCTCAGGTCTTACTTTACAAGTAACAAATTACATTTTCAATTCTTGGTTACAACATTTAACAATCATTATATTATTTCATTGTCAATGCAAGTGGGTATATGACACACTTGACACTATCCCGAATTAAAATATTCTTTATAACAACATGCTATTTCAGAATGAATAACATGGCACTTTAACTAGCATTCAGTGGTTGGTGGACTCAACTCCGATACCAGTGTAGGGGCACGTGATATTATGTTGTCTAGCACTCAGGATGGGATTGATGGAAACTCTAAGGTGGTGGTTTTCTTATATAAAATATATTATATGAAAGACAGTCTGGTGTTGGAGATGCCGTGTGGTGAGAGGCTTGCTCAAGAGACACGTTCAGTGAGTAGCGTGCTTGAGGAGGTATCTGTGCAGGAGCTTCGTTAGAGGAGATGTTGCGTGTTCAGGAACGTAGGGTAGAATGAATCTCAATGGAGAGACTGCGAGCTTATATACACAGCAGCCGGAAGTAAACCCGTGAACTCGCCGGTTTTTGACTCCGCTAGGAAGACGAGCAGATGGTGATCCCCCGGACAGCTCGCTTGGTTGCTAGGATACTGTCGCATTGGAATGAGGATGTAGTTGTAGGGTTGTATCTCACATGTGAGACAAAACGGGCAGGGGTGTGGATCAGTCGGCCGCTGTGGGAGACGACTCTGTCTGGAGGCACGAGATCTGTGGGAGAAGCAGAGGGAGAAGGAGGGTTGTGGATAGGAGAAGGTTGTACTGGCGAGGAATGTGGTGCTTCTATCACCGCAGGTGGAGGGGGACCGGGTGGGGTATCTGGGTCATCAGGGCCGGCTGCGGGGTCGTCAGGAGCAGTAGGTACCTGAGGATGAAAAGAGGATATGCAGAAATGTTGTGGGCGAGGTGGTGCTCTAAGTGGCAATGGTGGGTAGACTGGCGGAGGAGGTGCGGGATGAATGTGTTCAGGGCGGTGGGAAGGCTGGCGTGGGGCAGTAGCCTTGAATGCAGAAACCGCCTGATGTAGTGTTTGTAGTAGGTCGTGACGGGCAGCAGGAGTGAAGTGGTCAAGGTCAGAAGTAAGGCCTGTGATGTGCTGCTTGATAGTGGCAGAGGTTATAGCGCCTACCAGTCTCCGTCGGTGTTGCTTCGCCGTGTAGTTGCAGGGAGCCTCACAGCGTCTAGCTTTAGCGCCAAAACGTTGATGGTACCAACAGAAGGTAGGTACATTGTGCAGGGGGCTGGCGGCGCTGTCTGGGGCAGGACGGGGGTGTTGGGGTTGGTAGGACACAGTGCGTGGGGCAGGAACAGGAGAAGCAGGCATGGAGGAGCAGAGCTGTTCAGTGGTGTCCATCCGCTTTCAAAGTTTGCAACAGGTCCCTGATGTCTTGCTCGTCTGGTGGAATGCTACTTCTCTGAGGAGTGTTGATCAGGTTGACGAAACTGGGGCTAAGTGGAGGTGTGGCCACTGAGTGGTTTGCAGCAGCATGGCACACAGCAGTGTATTCGTTGAATATTCTATATGCCGCGGTTGCGTAAAATTCAGGTGTCGACGAGTAATCTACTGCAGACAGGGTGATGTGTACTTGTGTGGGGAGCTTTTGTGCGTGAAGCTGGCGCAGGATAGGTTCGGGAAGTCTGTCTGCGTGCCGGGAGTTCAGCCTACACATCTCCTCCCAGAGAAGTCCCGGAGTTGAGTTTCCAAAGGAGATTGAAGATAGGTTCTGCAGGAGACTGGGGCGGGTCCGTCGGTAATGCGTTTTTAAGGCGTCCCGCAGGGTGGCGAATTTGTTGCTTTCTGGAGGGTTGGAAGTAGTCCGTGATACATGCGTGGCGACTTCCGTGGGCAAGGAGGAGAGCAGAGCACCGTACTTTTGCTCGTCAGTAGCTTGTGAGCTGATGAGGATTGCTTCCACATGATCTAACCACTCCTCGACATTGTGGTTGAAAGTCGGTAGAGAGGTCCGTCCGTCCTCCATCCTGTGTGAGTGCGTTTTTCCGGGGGTCACCATTTGTAGGGTTACGTGATATTATGTTGTCTAGCACTCAGGATGGGATTGATGGAAACTCTAAGGTGGTGGTTTTCTTATATAAAATATATTTTATGAAGACAGTCTGGTGTTGGAGATGCCGTGTGGTGAGAGGCTTGCTCAAGAGACACGTTCAGTGAGTAGCGTGCTTGAGGAGGTATCTGTGCAGGAGCTTCGTTAGAGGAGATGTTGGGTGTTCAGGAACGTAGGGTAGAATGAATCTCAATGGAGAGACTGCGAGCTTATATACTTTAATGGGCCCCTGTCTCATCAACAGAACATATTATATAAATGGGTCAATACATCTGATATTATATTCAGATTCACCACCCTGTAACTTTCCACTGTCTATGAG